AGGATTTATATTAACATACTTGAGGTTAATTTTTAATTGATTACTCTTTGATTCCTGAGTTTATTCTAGAATTGATGAATGAATGAGAATTATATATCTACAAAATGAATCTTTCTGTGGTGACAGTACCAGATTCAGTATCTATAAGTATTCATAAACTAGTATAAATCTCAGTAATATAGATATATTATTGTGGCAAGTATTTTCTAATTAGTACTAAAAATATTTAAAACAAATACTGTTCGTAAAAAGTATTACAATAAAATCATATATATAAATATATACTTTTTTTAATATATGCAGGAGAGAAGAAAGACAAAGAAAAGAAAAGACAGAAAGGGGAAGAGAGAGAGAGAGAGAGAGAGAGAGAGAGAGAGAGAGGAAAGGAATGTGAAAAATGTGCATATTTCATATATTTATATAAGTTACATGAATAATCCGTAACCTGCAGAGTATATATATATATAATACTTGTTATTTTTAAAAATATTTCTACATATAAGTCTATAAAGTACTTGATAAAAATAACTGTAAGCACTACAAATATTCTAATTATTTAAAAAAAAATTTTTTTTTAATAAAATATAAAGAAAAAATATTAAACATATTTAAAAAAGTTATGCGTTTGGTTATTTCCATGTCTAGATCTATGTTAGTTAGATAGAGGTTGCTCCTCGCCCTGATGAGGTAAATTACTTAATGTTCTCCAAGCGTTGGCATTCTAGCAATGAATGTAGACACACCGGAAATAAAAAAAAAGCAGCAAGTACTTATAATTTTTTTATAAAAGATAAAAAGTAGAAGTATTATTAAATATATTTGTTAATCATTGGAAATATTGTCAATAATTATATGATACTGTAAAAAGGATTAATTGCTAATTTGTTACAAGAAATTAGACTGTAATTATAACTTTATGTAAAAATACTATAATTTATTAAAAATGTTAATTAACTTAACATCTAATTAAACCGACTTCTTCAATCTTGTATATACTTTTTAATATAAATCACAACTACAACTCAAAAATATTATTTCGTTTGACTTTAACATATTATCCTTGCATTTTTGGCTTACATTTTTCTTATCAGGTACCTTAGACTTCTTTGCGAGAATCTTATCTACATGGAAGACGAACAGCTTAGGGTAAGTCAGTATGCCGTGTCTGAAATGAGCGATAAGCACGGCCGCTGTGACTTCCGCGTTAAGCTCGTTTAACAGGAGGTGTAATTAATTAGAGGACCAAGTTCACTGTCCCTTAGAGCTGACTCCACCGCGAGTGATGCCGCCGGCGCTCTCTTAATACTAATCACCTACCCTAACTTTTGCCGGCGTACTCTGAGATGATCTTGTGGCAATTAATTGGCAGACGGGAGACGACAGGAATGATCGAGATCAAGCAAACTCACATGGAAAGTGTACAATAGACAAAAGTTTCGCGAAACTTTCGAACTCTTGAAAAAAAATTTAATAATTTTATTTTATCAATCCTCTATGGCCAAACTTATTTTCTTTTTAAAAAAATAAATGCATTAACAAAAAATAATTACTAATAAGAAAATGATGAAATAGATTTTTGAAAAAGCGATATTATTTATTATCTCTTAAGTTTATTTAATTTAGGAGTAAATATCAATTGACATATATGTATATTGCATAACGGACTAAACTGAGTCGAAAAGTCCTCTACTATTTTGCAAACCTCTACTATTTCACGATGATTAACAAAATATTAATAACTAAAAATCGCTAAATATTGGTCTTTAATCATTTTTTACTGAATATTATCAATTTTACGAAAAACTGCAAGAGACATAAATCATGTATATTCCTTCTTTTTATAGAACTCTAAGAATTTTTTTCAGAATTTTTTATCAACTTTTTATTACTGCATTTTCTTATTTTTACCAACATGAGAAAATACGGTATTAAAAAATTCTAAAAAAATTCTTAGAACTTTGAGAAAAAAATAAATAATTTTTATTTCTTATTATTTTTCTGTAAAATTGATAGTATTTAAATAAAAAATAATTAAAGATCAATATTTAGCGATTTTTAGTAATTAATATCTCGTTAACTATTGCGAAAAAAAATTGCAAAATGGTGCAGGACTTTTCGACTCAGTTTAATCCATCTTACCTGCTCAGGATGAATGCCGTAATTTAAGGACATTGTATATATGTACATATTATCTATTCTATTTCTAAATGAAATAGGTGTTGGAAAAAGTTCGTGGCGTTTTTTTAATGCCATCTAACGGGAAAAACACCACGAACTTTTTCCCAAACCTAATAATCTAAATTAATAATAAATAATATTGCTCTTTCAAAAATCTAATTTATTATAAACTTTATTATATTTTAT